TAAAACTTATGCTTCGGTTAGGGTTTTAAATAAAATTTTGCTAACTAACATGTGGAGTGAAAAATCCCCTAAAACTACACATTAAAATTTAAAATAGAAATAACAGAAATTGAAAGCTCAAATCACAAATTCTTAATTAAAATTCTTACAAATTCACATTCTCTAAATTTGGTTCTTCATAATTTTAGAATCCAAACACTTTCCACCTCAGATTTTTGAACTAAACTCAAATTGAGTCAATCTATTTGCTTCATCTTTCATTCATTCGTTCACTCATTCATTCATTCTTCCTCATTCATGCATACTCTTACCGCAGGGTGGTGAATACGATAAGAACTACTGCGGTATATTGACGCGCATAAATTCTCTACCGTACGAGGTAACAGTTTCAGCAAGTTGTGACATTTTTAGCAAAAATCAAGTCGTGGTGTAATTTGTAGAGTTCCGTGCTGCTAATTCTTGGATTCATGACACGAACTTGTATGGTACGATGGACGGGAGTGTATCAATGCTTAATGTTATGGCCTGAAAATCTTGCCATGATGTTTAATTCGTTTTTCAACGATAAGGCTGTAAATTTACTCCATGAAAACTCCTTTAATTCTCCAAAAATTTCATTCCAGTTCCCACCTGCAACATCCAGAGCAATTCGTCATTCGGTTTATCGTTGGCTATTATTATCCTACATCCTCGTGCTACGAGACATGTCGATTGCAGTAAAAAAGCAATTTCCGACCTATGAACATTTTGTCAAAGCTCAGTTATTAACAGAGTAAGCATGAATCACAATAAAGCTTAAATCAGCCTTCAAATATCCAAAACTCAGAGCTGAAGTGTATTTATTCGAAAATGCTAACATTGAGCCGGACTATTGTCGCTACTGGATACCATTACTTTGGATATCCCAAACTGTGAAAAAATATTATGTACCTCAGTGGGTAAATTTACTTCAATTTATAAAAAAATACCTTTTTACACCTCTACTTTGCTGCTTAGATTTACTTCTTTCTATGAAGAAATCATTTTTTATGCACATTTTAGGCATTTAAAAGGAAAGGTAAAGCGTAAAAGTATTATGAAACATACGCATATGGGTATTTTCATGAAAGAGGTAGCGCCGGTGCAATGCATAATCCGAAATTTAATGGAGTTTAACCATACCAATGATTTAGATGATTCGGCTTCGAGGAAATCTAGGAGATCTTCTGTGTTACGATTGGATCCCGATTCCACTAGCCATTGTACAGGTAACAAAGAGGGCAAATCGTGGATTTGTGTTCAATAAACCTAATTGATGGTATTTTCTCACAGACTATCACATTCGCAATATACATCTGCCTCGCTCTTAATGGTATACTTCAACACTATCCTTTATGCCAGTAAGTTATCCTATTTCCCTGATACGAAACAAAAGAACGCCGGTGGCACTTAAGATAGTTACAGTATCGCTTGTCGTCATCTAGAGATTTCGATACCGTTAGAAGATTCAGAGAAAAAAACTAATGAGATTTTCTACTATTATTTATGCGAACAACTATATCCATGCTTATTCTGCCTCTTTTACTTAGGCTTAGATTTCACTTCACCATCGACACCGTAGCTTGTTTATGAGTAACTGGCATCATTTCCCCGTCTTTATTTGCACACGAATTAGTTATCTTACCGCTAATGAGAAATGGATCGATATCTCGATTGAAAATAGTTGCGATATTTTCTACAGAATTTCACGTCTTTATGGGTTTCGAGTAAATTCACACAGTATTAATCTACTTGAGTAGGTGTGTTAAATTGGATTTAAGTATACGGGGTATGTTAAGCAAGCCAATTTTTATACCTACCAATTGAGTCAAAATGTTGAATCAAATCAATATATCGATCACTTAACTTTAGCGCCACTGCTCGCTATATGGAATAATACAACTTTGCTAATTTCTTTAAAAGGTCGTTACGACTGGATTCTCGCCTCCTACCTTTGCGAAAGTGTTTGGAGCAATGTGTCGATCAATATTATGAGCACATCATTTTTGTATCTCCCCCTCTTCCCTTTTTTTCTCTCGCCCTTCAAAAAATCCTCCCACCTCTTGAAATTGAATTATCAATATTTGATCAAGCCAATTCCAGCTCTTCTTTTTAAAAGTACGCTCAAACAAAATATTTCTAAACA